TGAAGGGTGAATTGTGACTGAAGGGAGGGAGATGGAGGGTGCAAATGCTCGCTGTCCTCACTGGGCAGCTGAACTGTGCACACGATACCTTCCAACTTCAAGTTCATTGCCTGTTCTCAAAATAGGCCACTAGATGTACCTGTACATATGTAGGCCTAGCTGAGCGTTAGAACAACCGTGGGCTCATGGGCGAGTGTAGGTATCTCCACTCACAGAAAGCCTTAAGCGGGGTATCCCACGTGTCCCGGTATTTACACCACAATACGGTAATCCCCTCTCAGCCCTGGTTAGATTATTATTTGCTAGTGTACATCGCGGCCACTCGCGGCACTCTACCAGGCACCTCAACCCAGACCCCTCGAGAGCTGTCGTCAACTTTCCGTTCCTCCCTTTGTTGTCTTCCTTGACCTCTAGATATTTTGCTTGGATATCTCGGCCGGACATGATTACAGCTGCAGCTACAGTTACAGTCACAGTACCTTGATGACAGCGAACCTCTCCAGCCAGAAACCACCAGCTACCTTACCCAAGTCTATAGACGCTACGACTGGCGCACATCACCAAGTCGACCGAGGAAGGCCATGACATGAGGTGCGCTGCCCTCGTCCTGGTCCGACAAACTGGAAGACATGGAGGACACTACGCCAACCACAACCACTCCAGCTGCGGCCATCGCGTCCGCTGCCGCCGTGGCTCCTCTTGAACGCTCAGTGTCGCAACAGTCCGTCCTCTCAACCACCCGGAGCCACCGCTCCCGGACTTCCAGCACCGCCCGCGCTCGCAAGAGGTTGACATCATACCCGTCAAGTTCCGCGTCTTCCATCGCCCCGTCCGACAAGTCGCTTACCTCGTTCCCCTCCTTCTCGCCCGAGTCGCCCCGCCTGGAGCTGTCCTTCTTCGAGCTCAACCCATCCTCCCTCTCGCCCTCCATCTCGCCTTCGCGCAACTCGCGAAAGTCGTCCGATCCCGTCTCCGTCGCCGACTCCGTGAGCAACGACAGCGACCCGCACCAGACACCCGAAGCTCCACAGCCCCAACGGATACGGCCCGCCTCTATGGTCGAAAGCTTGATCACAGCAGAGCCCGAGCCAGACACACGGGACGCACTTTTCCAAGACGTGCCTCTTACTGCCAACAAGATCCCTGGCTCCCTACACCACGCCGACAACGCCCACATTGAGCGCCTGATTGCTCGCCATGGCGCCACCAACCTCGTCCGACAGATATCTCAAGATCTGGCAGAGCGCGATGCTCAGATCGCCACTTTGCGCCGACGTGCCGACGACCGAGAACGCGCCCTGCGAAAGATTATCCTGGAATGCGGTCTGTCCACCCTGGATCTGGAAACTCGCCTGCGCGCCATCGAGCAGGATGCCAAACAGACGAGTCTCGCCAGGAAAGGTACCGCCGACGGCGGATTATCCGACCTCATGAACGAAGCCATGGCCCACGACCTCAGAGCTGTCGGCGCGAGCACAGGCCTGAATGACGCAACCATACGTGCTGCCACCATGTCGGTGCCTCCTGCAACCACAAAGGGTACAAACAAGGGCTGGAAAGACTTTCTGTGGGGTACTGGTACGACGGGAAAGAATTCAGGTCGGCCGAGCAGCGTGACCAGTGCTGGCACTGGTACCGGTGCAAGTGCTACGGATACCTCCAAGACGGTCATCAGAGGTAGTGGCTTGGGGCCAGAGCAGCGCCGCCCGACACTGGCCGATGATCTGTTCAACCCGCCCGAGACGGACTCGACAGACTCTGTGCCAGGTTCTAGTAGGGCATCCAGCATCAACTCGGCGAATGAGTCGCGGAAATCGTCGCTGGCCAGTCTTGCTTTACGGCTGGTTGCAGGTGGTGCAACCACGGGACGTAACGGTGACATGCGCGGCCGTGCCAACACCGCACGCCAGCCTGGGGGCTCCATGAGAACGCCGTCTACATCGAGCCGCGCCGCAAGCTCCGTCTCAAACCGTACAGTCTCAGCCGCCCAAACAGGCCCTAGATCGCTCATGGCAATGCGCCGCCGCACTACCGGCCCCGCTAAACCTATTGACGTGCCCCAGCGATACCAGCAACAGGACCGGTGGGATACCATGGGGTCCAGCCCCTCGAGAGACCTCGTGTCTCGCCAGCAGAGTTATGGCCCGGTCGAGATGGACACCATTCTTCCACCAGAGGTTCAGCCGCCAACACTGACGCACATATACAACAACCATTTTGGGTCCGAATTTCTCACCGACCGCTTTGGCTTTATCTATGACCAGCGGAGGAAGAAGCGGCAAAGAGAAGCCGCCAGGATGGCACGCCATGCAAAGAAGCCCAGCCGTACCGAGATGCTTAGCACTGGGCGGAACAGGTTATCCCCGGTCATGTTGGACGAGAGCTCTAGTGGCAGAGGAGACACAGCGAATGAGGCCGGGCCGGAATCTCCTTCGGCTGAGGAGCAACGGGATGATTCTAAGCCAAGAAAGTGGCAGGATTACCTCAAAATTGCAACATTTCCAACCGAACTGCTCTCTCACACCCCGTTGATTACCGTACCAGGCTTCGAGCTGATGGAAGGTGGTGAGGTACCCGAAGCACCCAAATCGCCTGGCTTGATAACGTCAGAGGAGCGTGGGTTCGTCCCCTCGGCTACTCCTGCCATCACCGCTATCGCATTGCCTGAGAATGAGGATCAACCCTCCCCAGACGAAGGGGAGCAACAATCGTCCTCGGCGAACATGGCGAAAGAGGATGCGGAACCTGTTAGGCTGTTGTTACAGAACCTCAATCAGCTCCACGATACACTTCAGAGGGAAAAGACTGTGCGGTGGAACGATTTCCTTCGCAAGGTACGGGCGGAAAGAAAACGGGACGGAGAGGCTGCCGCTGCTGCTGCCGCCGCCGCCGCTGAGGCTAGGTTTCAAAGGGCCGAAGCAGTGATGCCTGAAACGAGATTAGGAGACGGTGAGCTGATAGGCGTTGCAAGTTTGGGTATTCAAGGCAAGGTTGGACGTGTCAAGGCCAATGAGTTTAGGCAGCTCATACTTGGTGGCATTCCTGTCGCCTACCGGTCCAAAATCTGGTCCGAATGTTGCGGGGCCAAAGCTTTGCGCATCCCAGGTTATTACGATGACCTTGTCAACCGGCCAGAGGACCAGGACGATCCGCAAGTCGTGGCACAGATCAAGGCCGATATCACTCGCACCCTGACGGATAACATCTTCTTCCGCAAAGGTCCAGGGGTAGAAAAGTTAAATGAGGTGCTACTTGCCTACGCCCGACGTAATCCGGATGTGGGTTATTGCCAGGGCATGAACCTCGTCGTCGCAAATCTTCTTCTCATCACCCCCTGCGCCGAGGACGCCTTTTGGATCCTGGTGTCCATTGTTGAGAATATTCTCCCGCCCAACTACTTTGACCATAGCCTTCTCGCCTCCAGGGCTGACCAGCAGGTCCTGCGCCAATATGTGTCCGAGGTTCTCCCCAAGCTCAGTGCTCACTTCGAGGAGCTTGGCATCACCCTCGAGACCATGACGTTTCAGTGGTTCCTGTCTGTTTTCACCGACTGCCTTTCTGCTGAGGCCCTCTTCCGCGTCTGGGACGTACTGCTCTGCACCCATGACGGTGGCGTGTTTCTATTCCAGGTCGCACTGGCTCTGCTTAAGCTGAACGAACGCCAGCTGCTTGCCTGCGATTCGGCGGCGCACATCTACAGCTACATCAACCATCAGATGACCAATCATGCGATCAGTATTGACGGTTTGATACAAGCCTCGGAGGCGCTGAGAAGGGTGGTGCAGAGAGACGAGGTGGAAGCAAGAAGGACGAAGGCCGTTGAGCTGGAGAGGGAGATGAGTCGGGCCAGGGAGAAGAGACGAGAGGAGATGGAACAGCAGATGAAGAAGCTGGCGGAAGTGCAGGCGCAAAAGACAGCAGGAGCGCCGGCCGTTACTGACCAAACGGTGGCATCAGTGAACGTATCTTCCGATGATTTAGACACACCGACAGTGGGAGCAGATGATGGGATAACAGGGACTATACAATCGGCTGGAGGGATAACTGCTTGAACAAGTTGGGAGAGGATACATGGAATCAGGTTGTTGCATAGGGCGGCGTTGCATTGTATTGTTCGGTCCATCCACGATTATGGAATCGTCTATCGTTATTTCTCATTTGTTACAATTGGCAACTTGCTTCTTTTTGGTGTACGGGCTGGATAGGTGCATATCTCGGATTGATACCAAGCAGCGCATGGAATGGAGGTAAGGGAAATCACATCAGGCTCACAATATCAAACGTCATTATCCAATTCATTTAGTCACGATATCCGAATTTTTCGTCCATTGTCTTGGAAGTTCCTGCCTTGTTACTCAACCTTATGAAGTCCGCACTGCAAGTGAGTAGCCGCAGGGTTCCCATTAGAGAGAGCCATCGATTTGGATGCAAATCTACCGCTCGTGGCCTCATCTTGCCATCCGCAAGTTGATGTCGCAATGTCCAAGGAATACCGAATCACGGGCCTTGGGGTACCCGTATAGCTTGAGTAACTCTAGGTATGTTGTTCAACCAATTTCACCCTAGAACCTGAAATGATATCGTACACTCAAGTCGATTTGGTATAACTCGTTCGCGATCCTCTTTGGTATTCGGGCAAGCGATAACTACTGTGGTACGCGCGCTCATAACAGGAAAAAACGGAGAAAAAGAAAATGATGACAGAATGAATGACTGGATGATAAGACATAAGGGAAAAAAGAGTGAAAGAGAAAAGAAAAAAATGCAAAAAAGATTTGATGAATGACCCCAACCCGATTTGAACGGATAACCTTTCGATCTGGAGTCGAACGCGCTACCGTTGCGCCATGAGGCCTTGTTGAAAGCATGTCGCTGTTGTAGGTTTTATCAGTGGGGTTTTGGATTCGCAGCACGGAACTGGACCTTCGATATCCTTTGTGCCTGCTAATGTGCCTTCAATGACGGGAAGATGCAGTGTGATCACCGGACAAGTTTGATTTGCTCTTTAGAGTTCGTAAATATTTTTTTTACGAGTTTTATTCTTTTCCATTTCTCCACCGTGCACCATTTGACCTCCTAGCAGAGTAGGTTGCAGACGTCTTGACCATAGATCTAAACACATATCAAATAGGAGCGACCATAGGCCCATGTCCCAATATCTTCTCGGACAGTCCTCCATTCACCACCAAGCTATTCAATTCTTGCCCTCTAGTTCCGTCATGGCCCCAATAGCTTCTTCAATGGCAGAGCTTCGCAAATTGCTGACCTGGCTCCGTAGTTCCCCAAGGCGCTTCTTCCAAAAGTCCCATCGGTCCCGCGAATACCCCGGCTGACCTTGATACAGCTCGCCAGCTCTCAGCATCCTTGAATCAGTCTCATCCAAGTCTTCCGGCTTGCCAGCAAGTGAATGCTCCCAGATGAACTTCCCAGCATGCTTGATCCACAATGTGGCGACCACAACTCGTGTGTCCTTGCCTTCCTGGGAGAGCTCCTCCAGGCTCTCCTCCAGACCATCGCGAAGTTCCCAGATGGGCAATTCCCGCCAGTTGATTGCGCCCGTGCTGAGCAAAGTCGCTACGAAGGCGTTGAGGTTGCACCATCTTTCGTGGACCTTTGGATCGGTGACAGACTCGAAGCTGAGAGTTGGATCTATCGGGTATTAGCAACCATGGATCCCAATCTGTTGGGTTCCCAGCTTGAACTGCCTGGGATTTTTTTTCGTTTGCCTACCTTGCCATGCATCTCGGTTGCAGATGGCGAAGCCCTCCAAGCGCTGCCATGCCTACAGAATCAGTGTCAGCAACTCGATCCTTCCTGATAGATCTGTAACAGGATCCTAACAGGATGTCCATCCAGGCCAGCCAAATCACGTAGGACCAGAGCGAACCGGCGATGCGCTTCATGATCGGCGGGCACTTGTTGCACTGCTGCCAACAAGGTGGTGTATACGTTATATCGAGCGTTCTCAACCTCCGATTCCTTGTCCGCAGGGTCGTCGCGTGTGAGTATGGTGCTGTCTAGCTGCTCTGCGAGACGCTTGGCAGCCTGAGGAATGAGAGCATCATCGTTGACGTTGAGCGCAGCCTCCAAAGCATCAACAATCTGCGCGTTGGTTTCTCCTGCCTCTACGGGACTGTCCCGAAGGACCTGTAGACTGATGGAACCGGTCTTGGACATCTTCTCAGTTGTCGTTGGGATCGTGGATTTTGAAAATGGCAACGTGGTGTTGAACGAAAGGTGAAGTTTGCAGGTAGCACAGAAGATGCGGGGTGGTCAAGTTATCGAGCAGGCAGTACGCAGATACACACAAATATCTGAGTTCCTGTCGTGGTTGAGGTGGGCTCCCTCCATTCTTGCCCCGAGTTGTTACGCCGTGATCCGCGCGGGTGCCGCCTAGATAAGGTTTCATGCTTCCGATCTTGATGCCAAAGAAGGAAGGAGTTTGGGGTCGTCGCCCACTCAGGTGCCCTCTAGCGCACGAATGCAAGGCACTAACTCCACCCAACGGGAAGGAGCTTCGTCCAATGACGTGTCTCAAGTCAACAGCATGTTGTCCGAAAGAGGCGGCAACCCCATCATCATCACCTGTCACGAAGATATTTGGTTCATCAGCGGCGATACGGCTTGCTTTTAAAAGACACGAAATGAATCAACACTTGGTCCAAGCTCCCATTCAGGGGTGTAAACAAACTACGTCAAGTGCCGCCGGTATTTCGTGCTTTGCCAGACTCGGAACCGTCAACATCGACTTGCCAAGAAGGGATAACGGACGCATCGTACCGAGCCAAACCTTTGATATTATGTTCTTGATCTCGGGTTACGACTCTGACAACCAGACGAGCCGAAGTTCCGCTGTCATCTTGCAGGCGTCATCTGCACCCCGCAACGCCTCCAAGCATACGGAAATCTTGGAACGGAGGAGGCTTGCCAACTGCCGTTGTATGTCTTATAGTGTTTTAATCCTCCCCAACCTTCTTAGTGGTCGACGATGACTTTATCCGTCCGGGACAAGGCGGCCAGCCGGCTACTGAAGCCTGGAGACCGGGGAATGACAACCTCCGCCAAGTATTTTCATGCTGTATTGGGTCACGGAAGGAGCTCGACGAGGTTGTGGCTTGCCATTGAAAGAACAAGCGAGTGATGTGAATTGGCGGCCTGGGTCGCCTGACCGGGTATCGGGGAAGGATATGGAAGTTCAAAAGGAGCTTCATTCCCAACTCTCGATGTCTGTGGTGAAAGGTCCGGCATCCGAGTCTTTGAGTTCACGATCCTGCCGGTCACCGAACTTCCACGCTGCCTATTATGCTTCCCTCGATCTCTCTCCTCCTCGCCGCCGCGCTCGGCACCAGCGCCCACTACACGTTCCCCAAGGTGCGGGCAAACAGCGGAACAACTGCCGACTGGCAATATGTTCGCAGGGCGGATAACTGGCAGAACAACGGCTTTGTCGACAATGTGAACTCGCAGCAGATCCGCTGCTTCCAGTCTTCCCATAGCCCTGCTCAATCAACTCTCAGCGTCGCCGCTGGCACCACCATCACATACGGTTCAGCTCCCAATGTCTTCCACCCGGGTCCGATGCAGTTCTATCTGGCAAGAGTTCCGGACGGCCAGGCTATCAACAGCTGGACCGGAGAGGGTGCTGTTTGGTTCAAGATCTACCATGAGCAGCCCACATTTGGCTCGCAACTCACCTGGGCCAGCAACGGTAAAGACGCACCATTCTTCACGTTAGAGGGCAGTCACATGTACCTGTCCAGATACTGACACTACATCTTTTCCATACAGGCAAGAGCTCTTTCCCCGTCAAGATCCCTAGTTGCATCAAGTCTGGCAACTATCTCCTCCGTGCTGAGCACATTGCACTGCACGTCGCTCAGAGCTCGGGAGCTGCCCAGTTCTACATCTCATGCGCTCAGCTCAGCATCACTGGTGGCGGCAGCACTGAACCGGGTTCTAACTACAAAGTCTCATTCCCTGGAGCCTACAAGGCTTCCGATCCCGGTATTCTGATCAACATCAACTATCCCGTACCTACCTCGTACAAGAACCCTGGACCGAGTGTCTTCAGTTGCTAAATTCCGTCTGGCACGGGCTTCCGTATGAGTGTCTAAGGTATCTAATTGAGGAGGACGATGCTTGGTATTGGCTTATGAAACCTGTATATAGTATGCATACCTTTAAGTAACTCACGACAACCACTGCCTATACTTTGCGCTTGACGCTACAGTTGCAGTCTCCATCCATCTTTCCGTACCACAGATTGACCCTACCAACTCGAAGACTGACCAGGGTCACGAGGGGGGGTTGGCTCACATCTTTAGCAGGTGTGCTAGAGTATGACTGGACTGGTAAATGTTGACACCCCGCGTCCTAAGTGATACTTTGCTCTGCACGGTAGTTGTCACCACAAACCTGGTGTTCTGGTTGTATGCTACCCATCTTTACACATCAGCAGTCACTCCTTGCATTGCTACACGGCAACGCACCAGGGCCGGGACTAATGAGTGCCGCAATAGCAGAATGGCATTTACCCGAGTATACTATGGATGTATCATAGGACCTGATTTCGGAGGTCACTTGCCGAATGCCCAGATTTCCTTCTACATTACCTCTGCTCGATGTCTGAAAAGAGGGCATTGTATGAGTGAAGTACCTCTTCCCTAGACAACGATTATGGCAGAAAACATATAAAGCTAGAAGAGCACGACACTTATCAGGAGTTCGTGCCTCTGTTCGCTGTCGACTCCCAGTATCGAGTTTACCATTGTCATTTTACAAAGTCTTCGCCATCGAAGGATACCACGAAAATGAAATCCCTCATCAGCATCCTCCTGGCTGCGGTGGCTGCTCGAGCCCATTGTACGCAAACCATACCTTGTTGACGACATCCAGACACATTTTTCAATGCTAACCAAGTATTAGACACCTTCCCTAGGCTTGTGGTCAATGGCCAGCCGGAGGAGAAGGACTGGACTGTCACCCGCATGACCAAGAACGCTCAAAGCAAGCAAGGAGTGGAAAGTGCAACGAGTGGTGACATCCGTTGCTATTCCTCGCAAACGGCTGGAAGCGTTGCAACTGTTCCTGCCGGATCAACAATCCACTACATCTCAACACAGCAGATCAACCACCCGGGCCCAACACAGTATTATCTTGCCAAAGTCCCGGCTGGCTCATCCGCCACGAAGTTCGATGGTTCAGGCGCCATTTGGTTCAAGATCTTCACAACCATGCCGAAGATGGACAAGAACAGGCAACTCACCTGGCCAGGTCAAAGTATGAACTGTGCACATCTCTTTAGAGCTCAGCTTTAGAAACCTGTAACGCAGACTGACGGATATTCCATGACAGATGAGTACACGACGGTAAACGCAACTATCCCACCAAATGTTCCCAGTGGCGAGTACCTCTTGCGGGTTGAGCAGATTGCGCTCCACATGGCATCGCAGCCAAACAAGGCCCAGTTCTACATCGCCTGCTCCCAGATCCAGATAACTGGCAGCGGTAATGGGAGTCCTGGGCCTTTGGTCTCGCTACCCGGCGCTTATAAGACAAATGATCCTGGCATTTCGGTGAACTTGTATACAATGCAGCCGGATGCCTACCAACCTCCCGGTCCGTCCGTCTGGAAGAGTTAGGGTTGGATGTCGTGATCGTCAATGACGATGTGCAGCTCGGCGAGTAACCGGGAAAGACGGGTGTTGGAACACGAAATGAATGATTAAGAAATAATGTGTTCGCGGTAGGGTAGGAGATTTACCTCTAGGATGAGGGTCGAGTGATGAATGTAGAGAGTTTTTCAGATTAGAAAAAAAAAAAAAAAAAAGGTACAGTCATTTCAATAACCGAGCAGAGTAGGCGAGGGGCATAGCCTCATAAGTGCAAGATTTGAAAATACGTCCAACAATTAATACGGGCCGCTGGTCTAGTGGTATGATTCTCGCTTAGGGCGTGTTTGGATGCTCTGAAATTAGGCTCTGAACAGGCCACTCTGAAGTGCCTACATAGAGGAACCGCACGGACCGTCCTAAACCGGATTTTTGCGGTAAATACCGAAATTTTAAACTCCACCCCATTCCTATTCATAGCGGAATTTCAGAGTGCCGTTTAGTGCTCCATAACCGTAGAATCTGAAATTTTTACACACAATCCGTATTTATGTGCCCATAATTAATATAATAATATAACCTTCTTTTACATCCTCTTATAAACCCTCTTTTACATCCTCGATATCAACTAGCGAAATAGCAAGTCAACCGCCATCTACATAGGCCAGCCAAGCTAGCCAGCCTACCTCCCAACCGACTACCTCCCAAGCTATCACTAAGAAGAGGGTACACAAAAAGGCTTAGCAATAGACTGATGCCCAAGAGAGGACCCTACCATGGTAACTCAAATAGATCGTCGACGATAACCTTACTAACCGAAATAGATATAAAGAAACAATATATAATAGTATCGTAAATACCTTACGCGAAAAATATAATATCGAATTTAATACTATATAAATACGTAATAAAATCGATTACTTCAAACGCAAGTAGCGTACTTAGTAAGTACTCGCTAGTTTCGTTAGCTAATCCAGCTTCGGTTACGATAATGAGACTAGGCTCTATATTACTAAAAATACTATCTAAGATTCCTTCTTAGAAGTTAGTCTAGCATCCTTAATTAAGTTAAATCGGTTAAATATACTTACTAACAATACAGTAGAGCTACAAAAAATATACCCAATTCAAAACTAAAACCCTCCCGCACCGTAAATTATAGAGGAGACGTTCTCTAATAACCAGGGTACTACTAGAGCCTATACCTTAATATTAGGCGCACTCCTATCACGCCGAGAGATCCCTCCTATAGATATACCTTATAATTCGGATAATGAAGATTTCGAAGGCGAGCTCACAATCCCTACCTATGTACGTGACGGCAAGAAAAGACCTACTTCATCGACCGACCCTAAAAAGAAGAAAAAGAAGAGTAACGGTGAGGCTATTAACGAGAGCTTTAAGTATTTTATTAACGTAATGTCGTTGGCGGAGTACCAAAAAGAGGTCGCGCACGAATAAATAACGAAGGCGGTCGCGATATTCGAAAAAGACTAGGAGGCTAAAATCTACCTTAATATTAGTATTCATACCTTACGCGAATAGGAGGAGTTAAAGTCGAGGGCGCATTACTTCGTAATCATTTCAAAGAAGATAAAAGAAGCGTACTTTAAAGTTATAAAAAAAAAGTTGGGTATTAAAAACGAGAAGGAGAAGGAGGAGGAAGAGGATTTACCCACCCTATAATTACAAGAGGAGGATCTAGATATATTTAACGAAAATTTAATCGACCCAACTCTATATTCGAATACCTTACGCTCAAATAATCCAAACCTATAAATACGCTATATTACAATGTACTACAGCAATTTACTTATATACACAAAGTTCCTACAAATAGGAGGGAGCGGGAAGTAGGACTTACCCCGAATTTGATTTTTATTATCTTTTTTATCTTTTCTTCGTACTGAAACTTTAATACTTAAAAAAATCGTATATATATAAAAATTGATCATTTTAATCGCTAGACCGAATTGGATCGATATATCTAATTTATATTGAAATTAAAGCACTTTTATAAATAATACAAATAATTCTATAAATACCTTCGATTAGGGATACGGGTCGCCAAAACTATATAGACGGCGCTAATATCGATTGATATATCAAACTTAATAAATATATCGTCATATTTCAAATCTAAAGATTTTGAAATTTCTAAAGTCAAATACTAGATTACAAACTTCCCCTCCTCTCCTCTCCTCTCTACTCTATTCTACACTTTATACTTTACACCTCTCCCCTTCTTTAAAACTCGATACAATAGTCGCGCTATATCTTCTTTACAATACGCTCGCAATACTAATTCATCTAACTATTAGCACCTCCCTATCTCTCCTAATCCTCTATACCATACCTGACGAGAAGCACCTTCTCCTTCACAATCTCTTACCGCTTAGGGTCAAAAATATCCACCATCTCCATTTCGTTAGCGAAAAGGTTACTAAATCCATCCCACTCCAAAATCCAATTTAATAACGCCGTAGTAGTATATATAACCTCGATTTAAACCTTTAACGGCAACGATAGGGATATACAATAAATCCTAAAGCTCCCTTTCAACCGACTAATAGTCTTCTCGATTATAATCCGAATCTAGGAATAACGTAAATTGAATAACTCCTTATAATCCGCTAGTTTCAACCCTACTCTAGCAATCTCTACTAAATAATATCGCACACCACGGTACAACACGAAGAATTTTAAATTATTATTATAACCGGCGTCGGCTAAATATATATAATTCTTAAGGATACTAAACCTATTAGTAAATACTATATTTAATACCCTTATATCGTTAGCGGACCCCTCCTAACTAGGAAGTACGTATATAATCCAACTAAAGAAGTTATATACTAACAAAACGTTCATAGAGACACCTCCCTTTCGGTTACGCTATAGTCTTTACTACTTAATAGAAACCCTTACGCTAAAGTGCGAACTATTGAAAACTCTTAAAACCTTATAAAAATCAAGAAATAGCTTAGGATTAGTTTCAATTTCATAGGGGGTTTCTACCTTAGGCAAGCGGACTTTCTTCTAGCATAGCATTAAACAAGCATTAAGAACCTTATAAAATATTCTATCGTAGAAGTTAAATATAAAATTCCTTTTCATATTACTCTAGATGCTTACTAACCTATATACTATCTCTAAATTGAAACCTAATACGTATACAATTATACGAAAATTAATACCTTATACCACAATAAAAAGAAAGACAACAACCTTCTCGTATATCGTAATCTTTACAAACAACGATAAGCTAGTATAACAATCGAGCCATACTACTAGACCGTTAAACGCACGCGGCGTCATTCGCAATAACAATTGGAAGCGGCCTTTATATCTATAGAGAAGGTCGTACATCGTCATCCACGAACTTCTACCCACATTCATAGGGATTGGAGGTACCCAGGGCATAAAGCGGGTCATATACAGCATTACGGCTACTTGTATAGCCCTCTTACGACAACGCTAGAATCGTTATTAATATTGTACGACGTCAAACGAGGGCATGGCGGTTGATCTGGTCAATTAAGGGTAGCGATAAGGGTTGTCACGTGCTATAAAAGATATACAAAATAATAAAATTTCTAGTTCAAAAGGTCGATTCAGGACCCTTTTGTGTTCTGAACCAGTGCGATGGATTTCAGATTGATCTACGTTATTTGATTGGCTCAAAATCGAAAGTGGGGGCATAAATTTCAGAGCCCTGATTTTACATCAATTTCAGGGCGAGTCAACTAAGAGTGGCGCCAAACAGCACTCTTAAATTTACGACTCTGAACAGTTCAGAGCACAATTTCAGAGCATCCAAACACGCCCTTAGGGTTCAATCCTGAGCATTCTTGCGAGAGGTCCCGGGTTCAATCCCCGGGTGGCCCCACTTTTTCAGTTTTTCTATTTTTATTTTTTGTCTTATTTTTTATTATAGTTATATTGTTGGAGGTGTCCCGTGTCACGTGCGGCCAGCCATGGCTCCCTTCTCCCTTCACTGGCCATGGCCCCACCGCACAGGGACCTCCCTTGCCCTACTTTTAGACCTCCAGACTTTACACACAGTCTGACCTCTACTCTACTCAATACATCACCATCATCATTGATTCGTTCGTTGTCGTTCAGCCTATTCACATATATATATCCCTGAAAGTGCAAACAATCTTGGCAGACGAAACTTTTAATATCGTCTTCCGGGGCGCTGGCAGAATTTGACTGAAGCGCAGCTGTTATATAGGTCTAGGTAAGTATCTCAATTACTAACGTATACCTCTAGCTATATTCAAATTATTAACGCCAAAAATTAGCGGTCTACTCTTAACGTCTAGCTATATCCCAATCATCAATGCCAAAATTTAGCTATCTACTTTTAGCGCTTAATTATATCCCAATTATCAACGCCAAATTTTGGCTATCTACTCTTAACGCTTAGTTATATCCCAATTATCAACGCCAAAGTTTTATAATGCTTCTTCTTTTTGACCAATGCTTCCAATACTTCCAATGCTTCCAATACTTCATTGCTTCATTGCTTCATTGCTTCATTGCTTCATTACTTTATTACTTCCTATTATTTCAAAATTTCTATTTCCTTTTCTTCTTGCTTACTAGGGGGCTGCGCCCCCCGGGATCCCCCCTTTGCCTGCGACGCTCAAATTTATAGTACCGCCAAGACCAGGGGGACACCCCCCGTGGTGTGTACGGACTGCAAAATTCTGACCAATCCAAGGTACGGATTTGGTTACAAACTATTCAAAACCGGCCAATTACAACACGAACTTACATGGGTATCGACCCTATTATAGAGAAGCTCCGCTATGCTCGCTCACTTCGTGTTAAAATACTTCTTTCCCTAGACCATAAGAGCTGCGCTTCAACAATTTTTAAATATTTGTACTTATAAAGGTTATTTTTATATAGAAGCTTCTAATAAAGTTTATTTACTATATATTTAGAAACTCTTTCATAATTACGTAGATAGTATTATAGCTACAATAAGGATAGTGCGGTTAATATAAGCGTTGGTTGTATAGTTTAATTAAGGTTCTATAAAGAAGGAAAAGTTTGTTTAAGAGGCGGCTCTATTAGAAATACGCGGTTTTAATAGGGGCTATACGGATATAACTACGGCGCTTTATAATAATTCTAATTAATAAATTAGAGTGTTATAGTCCGGGCTTCAACCCTACAATA